ATGCCTCTAGCCAGTTTTCAAAATGGAAACATAAGTAATTTGGAATATAAAAAGCAGAACTAAGTCTTTTTTAAAAAAAATGTAGCAATGAAGATAATTTGAACAGACAGATTTGGTGAGGACTGAAATTACAGGTTTTGGAATGGCATGTATTGACTTTTTCATCGCTCATCTGAATGTAGCTGGTGTTTCATTGACAACTGTCTCAGTATTGCTTGTCAGACTTTCTGAATTAGGCCTGTGTTATTAGACTGTGTCTTCAAGTAGAACATCTGTCTAGAACAAATTACTTGGCTAGCAGCACAGCTGGGCTTTGCTTTTATTCTTTCTAGGCCTGTTCATTGCACCAGGACTAAGCAAGACAGTAGGAGGATGACATGAGGAATGATGTGCAGCACTGTAAAAAAATTGTCCCTAACACCTGCTCAGGTCCTGGCACACTACATGAGATGTTTTCCTGTTGTGTACGTCCATGGTTTCATTCACAGGTTCAGCCACAGGCAGCATTGTGGCAGATTACTCACCAGAGAGACACACAGACACACAGACACACAGACATGCGGAGACAGACACACAGACACAGACACAAAGACACACAGTCAAAGACACACAGACACACAGACATACAGACACACAGACACACAGACATGCAGAGACAGACACACAGACACAGACAGAGGCACACAGACACACAGACACACAGACACACAGGCACAGACACACAGACACACAGACACACAGACACAGACACAGACAGAGACACACAGGCACACAGACATACAGACACAGGCACAGAGACACACAGACACAAAGATAAAGACACACAGACACACAGACACAGACAGACAGACACACAGACACACAGACAAACACACAGACAAACAGACAGACAGACACACAGACACAGACACAAAGACACACAGGCACGCAGACACACAGACATACGGACACACGGACACAGACACTGAGACACACAGGCACGCAGGCACACAGACACACAGACACACAGACACAGACACATAGACACAGAGACACACAGACACACAGACACAGACACACAGGCACACAGACACACAGACACACAGGCACACAGACACATAGACACACGGACACACAGGCACACAGACATACAGACACAGGTACACAAACACACAGACACACAGACAAAGACACACGGACACACAGACACACAGTCAGAGACACACGGACACAGACACACAGGCACACAGGCACAGATACGCAGACACACAGGCACACAGATACGCAGACAGGCAGACACACAGACACAGAAACAGACACACAGACACACGGACACACACAGACACAGACACAGACACAGGCACACAGACACACAGACACAGGCAAACAGACACACGGACACACGAACACACGGACACACGGACACACACACAGACACACGGACACACAGGCACACAGACACAGACATACAGACACAGGCACACAGACACGCAGACATAGACAGACAGACACACACAGACACACGGACACATGGACACACAGACACACAGACACAGACACACAGACACACAGACACACACACAGACATACACACACAGACACACAGATACACAGACACACGGACAGACAGGCACACAGAGACACTGACAGACAGACACAGGCACACAGGCACACAGACAAACTGACACACAGACACAGGCACACAGACACACAGACACGCAGACACGCAGACACGCAGACACGCAGACACACAGACACACAGACACAGACACAAAGACACACAGTCAAAGACACACAGACACACAGACACACAGACACACAGACACACAGACACACAGACATGCAGAGACAGACACACAGACACAGACAGAGGCACACAGACACACAGACACACAAACACAAAGACACAAAGACACACAGACACACGGACACAGACACAGACAGAGACACACAGGCACACAGACATACAGACACAGGCACACAGACACACAGACACAAAGATAAAGACACACAGACACACAGACACAGACAGACAGACACACAGACACACAGACAAACACACAGACAAACAGACAGACAGACACACAGGGACACACAGACACAAAGACACACAGGCACGCAGACACACAGACATACGGACACACGGACACAGACACTGAGACACACAGGCACGCAGGCACACAGACACACAGACACACAGACACAGACACACAGGCACACAGACACACAGACACACAGGCACACAGACACATAGACACACGGACACACAGGCACCCAGACATACAGACACAGGTACACAAACACACAGACACACAGACAAAGACACACGGACACACAGACACACAGTCAGAGACACACGGACACAGACACACAGGCACACAGACACAGACACGCAGACACACAGGCACACAGATACGCAGACAGGCAGACACACAGACACAGAAACAGACACACAGACACACAGACACACACAGACACAGACACAGGCACACAGACACACAGACACAGGCAAACAGACACACGGACACACGAACACACGGACACACGGACACACACAGACACACGGACACACAGGCACACAGACACAGACATACAGACACAGGCACACAGACACGCAGACACAGACAGACAGACACACACAGACACACGGACACATGGACACGCAGACACAGAGACACAGACACACAGACACACAGACACACACACAGACATACACACACAGACACACAGATACACAGACACACGGACAGACAGGCACACAGAGACACTGACACACAGACACAGGCACACAGGCACACAGACAAACTGACACACGGACACAGGCACACAGAGACACACAGACACACAGACAGAGGCACACAGACACACAGACACACAGACACAGACACAGACACACAGACACGGACACACAGGCACACATTCACACAGACATACAGACACAGACACACAGGCACAGACATACAGACACAGGCACACAGACACACGGACACACAGGCACACAGACACACCCACACAGACACACAGACACAAAGAGACAGACACGCAGACACAAACACAGACACTCAGACACACTGACACAGACACTCAGACACGCAGACGCAGACACACAGACACACGGACACACAGAAACAGACACAAAGACAGACGGACACACAGACACGCAGACACGCAGACACAGACAGACAGACAGACAGACACAGACACACAGACACAGACACACAGACACACACAGAAAGACGCACAGACACAGACACACAGACACACAGACACACAGACACACAGACACAGACACGCAGACACACAGACGCAGACACAGACACACACAGAGACACACAGACACATAGACACACAGACAGAGACACACAGACACAGACACACAGGCACACAGACACACAGACACACAGACACACAGACATGCAGACACAGACACACAGACACACAGACACACAGACACACAGACACACAGTCACAGACATACAGACACACAGACATACAGACACACAGACACACAGGCACAGACACACAGACACACACAGACAGACACACAGACACAAAGGCACGCAGACACACGGACATATGGACAGACGGACACAGGCACACAGACACACAGACATGCAGACACAGACACACAGACACACAGACACACAGACACACAGACACAGACACACAGACACACAGACTGATGGACATAAGGACACACAGGCACACAGAAATACAGACACAGGCACACAGACACACAGACACACGGACAGACAGGCACACAGACATACAGACACAGGCACACAGACACACAGACACGCAGACACACAGACACACAGAGACAGACACACAGACTCGCAGACACACGGACATACGGACACATGGACAGAGCCACAGAGATACACAGACACACACACAGACACACAGACACACAGACACACAGACACACACACAGACACACAGACACACAGACACACAGACACAGACACACAGACACACAGACACACTGACACACAGGCACACAGACACACAGACACACATACACAGGCACACAGACACACAGACACACACACAGACACACAGACACACAGACACACAGAAACACAGACACACACACTGACATACAGAAACACAGACACACAGACACAGACACACAGACACACAGACACACGGACACACACAGACAGACACAGAGACACACAGGCATGCAGACAGACGGACATACGGACACACGGACACAGACACACAGACACACAGACACATAGGCACACAGGCACACAGAAACACAGACACAGACACACAGACAGACAGACACAGGCACACAGATACACAGACACACGGACACACAGGCACACAGACAAACTGACACACAGACACGCAGCAACACAGACACACAGACACACAGACACACAGACACAGGCACACAGACACAGACACACAGACACACACACACAGACACACAGACACAGACACACAGACACAGGCACACAGACACATGGACACACAGGATCACAGACATACAGACACTGGCACACAGACACACAGACACACATACATATGGACACAAAGACACATAGGCACACAGACACACAGACACATAGGCACACAGGCACACAGACACACGGACACACAGACACAGACACACGGACACAGACACGCAGACACACAGACACACAGACACACAGACACACAGACTTACAGACACAGGCACACAGGCACACGGGCACACGGAAACACAGACACACAGACACACAGACACAGACACACATGCACACAGACACACAGAGACAGACACACTGACTCGCAGACACACAGATAGAGACACACAGACACACAGGCACAGACACACAGACACAGACACACAGACACAGACACAGAGACACACAGACACAGGCACACAGACACACAGACGCAGACACAGACACACACAGAGACACACAGACACATAGACACAAAGACAGAGACACACAGACACAGACACACAGGCACACAGACACACAGACACACAGACACACAGACATGCAGACACAGACACACAGACACACAGACACACAGACACACAGAGACAGACACACCGACACAGAGGGACACACACACAGACACAGACACACAGACACACAGACACACAGACACACAGAGACAGACACACCGACACAGAGGGACACACACACAGACACACAGACACACAGATACACACACACAGACACACAGATACACAGACACACAAACACACAGGCACAGACACACAGACACAGGCACACAGGCACAGACACACAGACAGACAGACTCAGACACACAGACACAGGCACACAGACACACAGACACACAGACATAGACAGACAGACACACACAGACACACAGAGACATGGACACACAGACACACAGACACACAGACACAGGCACACAGACACACGGACGCACAGACACACAGACACACAGACACAGACACAGGTACACAGACACACAGACACACGGACAGAGACACACAGACACACAGACACACAGACACACAGACAGAGACACACAGACACACAGACACGCAGACACACAGAGACGCAGACACACAGACAGAGAGACAGACAGACACACAGACACAGACACACAGACACACAGACACACAGACACACAGACACGCAGACACACAGAGACGCAGACATACAGACATACGGACACACGGACATAGACACACAGACACATAGACACAGAGGCACACAGACACAGAGACACAGACACACGGACACACACTGACACACACACAGGCACAGACACACAGACACAGACACACAGACACAGACACAGAGACACACAGACACAGGCACACAGACACACAGACACACAGACATAGACAGACAGACACACACAGACACACGGACACATGGACACACAGACACAGACACAGGCACACAGACACACGGACACACAGACACACAGACACACAGACACAGAGACACACAGACACAGAGACACAGACACACAGAGACGCAGACACACAGAGACGCAGACACACAGACAGACAGACAGACAGACACACAGACACAGACACACAGACACACAGACACACAGACACACAGACACACAGACACGCAGACACAGACACACGGACCCACAGGCACACAGGCACACAGACACAGACACACAGACACACACTGACACACACACAGACACAGACACACAGACACACAGACACACAGACACACAGAGACAGACACACCGACACAGAGGGACACACACACAGACACACAGACACACAGATACACACACACAGACACACAGATACACAGACACACAAACACACAGGCACAGACACACAGACACAGGCACACAGGCACAGACACACAGACAGACAGACTCAGACACACAGACACAGGCACACAGACACACAGACACACAGACATAGACAGACAGACACACACAGACACACAGAGACATGGACACACAGACACACAGACACACAGACACAGGCACACAGACACACGGACGCACAGACACACAGACACACAGACACAGACACAGGTACACAGACACACAGACACACAGACACACAGACACACAGACAGAGACACACAGACACACAGACACGCAGACACACAGAGACGCAGACACACAGAGATGCAGACATACAGACATACGGACACACGGACATAGACACACAGACACATAGACACAGAGGCACACAGACACAGAGACACAGACACACGGACACACACTGACACACACACAGACACAGACACACAGACTCACAGACACACAGACACACACAGACACACACACAGATACACAGACACAGAGACACACACACAGACACAGAGACACAGACACAGACACACAGACACACAGGGACACAGGGACACACACACAGACACACAGACACACAGACACACTGACACACAGACACACAGACACACATACACAGACACACAGACACACGGACACACAGAGACAGAGACACAGAGACACAGAGACACAGAGACACAGACACACAGACACACAGACACACAGACACACAGACACACAGACACCGGCGCACAGAGACACAGACACACAGACACACACATAGACACACAGACACACAGACACACAGACACACAGACACAGACACATACACAGAGACACACGGACACACAGGCACACAGACACACAGACACACAGACACACAGACACAGGCACACAGACACACAGGCACACAGACACACAGACACACAGACACACAGGCAGACAGACACACAGACACACAGACACACAGACACACACAGACACACACACAGACAGAGACACACAGACACAGACACACAGACACAGACAGACACACAGACACAGACACACAGACAGACACTGACAAACACACAGACACAGACACACAGACACACAGACACAGAGACACACACAGACACACACACAGACACACAGACACACAGACACACACACAGACACACACACTGACACACATACACACACAAAGACACACACACTGACAGAGACACAGAGACACACAGACACAGACACACAGACACACAGACACACAGGGACACACAGACACACAGACACACAGACACACACAGACACACACACAGACACAGACAGACACACACACAGACGCACAGACACACAGACACAGACACACAGACACACAGACACATAGACACACAGACACACACACACACACAGACACTGACACACGCACAGACAGAGACACACAGACACACAGACACACAGACACACAGACATACACACACAGACACACAGACACACAGACACACAGACACACAGACACAGACACACAGACACACAGACACACACACAGACATACAGACACACAGACACACACACTGACACATAGACACACGGACACACAGACACAGACACACAGACACACGGACACACAGGCACACAGACACACACAGACACACAGACACACAGACACAGACACACAGACACACAGGCACACAGACACACAGACACAGACACACAGACACACACACAGACACACAGACACAGAGACACACAGACACACAGGCACACAGACTCACAGACACAGACACACAGACACACACACAGACACACAGACACACAAGCACACAGACATAGACACACATACACAGACACACGGACACACAGACACACAGACACACAGACGCACAGAGTAAAGCTGACTTTGCAACGCTTCTCCTCCTTACACTGTCTGTCTCCTTGAATGGAAATGTTCACACTCAGGTGTGTCAAGGGCCGTTAGCTCGACCCCAAAACACACAAGCATGAGCTGGTACTGGCAGGGCTTAAAAGAAGCTGTTAAAGGTGTTAAAGGGAAAAATATATTGAAAAATTTTAGTGTGTTTCAGTTATGGTTGAATGAATTATCTCTGCTATCCTCACTTACACATTAATTCTTCCAACAAAACATAATCCTTTTTGCTGAAATATTTTGTCAGGAAAAATCTTGGTCTTCTGGACCTGTAGAAGAGGAAGCTTAGACTGCAGCTAGTGTGAGAAGGAAAGGAAATTCTCTTAGGCTGTGCAAACCAGCTCAAAAATGCAGAGAATCAGTGTATAAATTGCACTGAAATTCTTAAAAATCACAGTATACTTTATTGTATGCTTTTTCATTACCTTTTATTTTTTAAATTTAGGCTTTCAACAACATGTTATTTCATAGATCAACAGATATTACTATCATTGTTGCTATCAGCTTTCAATTTTCTTTCCCAAAATGAACTCTAGTACAATTTCTCATACATATCAAAGAGATCCTTGCTCTGGATGGAATTAAACAATCAGATAAATGCAAAGTATTAGTTAAATGGACAAGAAAGAAGGGGGGAAAAAACCAAAAACAAACAAACAAAGAGATAATTTTGTGGTTTTTTATCCCATTAAGAAATTAAATTCTGGCAACTCTCATCATATCTGCAAATTCTCATTCATCATGTGTTTGGTCTCTCTTTCTCTTAAGGCACCCTTTGCTTGCCATTTAAAATGTCAACATAATTTGCAACAAGCATGCCAGCATCCCTTTACTGGTGATAATTCATTTGGTGGTGGGGGTGGGGGGAGGATTTAGGAAAGGGTGCAATGGCTGGATAGTGTTGGGATTGAAGAGCTCATTCATTCTTATTCCCTCCTTCTGGGGAGTACAAGAAGAAATTAGGTGAGGGAAAGATTGAAAGATCCTCAACAGGCGAAAAATCTGAAGGTTCTTCTTCCTGTATTTTTTAGCCATCTGTGTTTTACAGGCCATATCTTGCCTTTAAGTGCTTTTCATAGCGGGAAAATGGCAATTTTTTCCCAGAAACTTTACTGTGTGGAATCTTCCCTGCTGATAAAACGTTGCTGGAGCCAGGAAACAGAGAAATAGCATGAAAACCTGGGATAATCTGGGTTAACTTGACATCCATAAGTGCCGCTAAAGGACAACACTGTTATTTTGAAAACTAAACATTGGTGCAGCTGGGAGTTGTGTTTGGTGAAGATGATGCACTGCATTCTGCCAGCAAAGGCAGCAGTGTCCTGCTCACGGCCCATCCTTGTGATGCCAGAAGATGAGACAACAGGATTAAAGGTGTGCCAAGGCCCTACAGTCTTGTTCTTATATTTGCCACAATTTATTTATATCTGACTGGTTCAACCATTGGAATAGGGCTAGCACAAAGAAAGGTGTCAGGTCAGACCTTCGGGAAGCTTAACAAAGGATGTTCCTCCTCTCCTGGCATTATGTACTGGAAATGGTTGGCTATGGAGCCACCAAATTGTGATTATTGGGATGGGTCTGTGCAGGGTCAGGAGCTGGACTCAGTGATGCATGTGGGTCCCTTCCAGTTCAGCATTTTCTGTGACCAAAAGCCATTCTAATCTTTGCCCTCCCACTGTAGGTCCTGATTCCTCTGTGAAGCCTTCAGTGCCTTACAGACTCTAATCTCCATCAGGACTGAGGGTTTCAGTTTGTTTTTCTGCTTTGTAAAAATAACCTTGCTCATTTTCACTGCTTTAAAATGAAACAAAAATGCGTTTAAAAATTCTTGTATAAACACAAACCTTTCCATACATGATGTGCAATCGATCAAAACAACATCAGTGTTTTACATAGAAGTATTTAGAACAAAAATAATATTACTTGGAACAGAAATTCTAAAATAACTTTATTTTAAAATATCTGTCTTTCTAAAATATTTTGTCATTCTATTTCCATCACATCATGGATTCTGCACCTGAGAGTCATTCCTGGAGCCAGAATTTTCTGGGTACTTGCCTTAAATATGGACCCTGAAGAGGAGTTGCATACCCCTTCAGCAAAGACTGAATCTCTAACAGAGTGGTACCTACAGACCCATTTGTAGAAATTAACTCTTTTAAAATAACAACCTATTTATGAACCTTCTTTCTTTCAGACTGGAGGGATTCTTTGCCACATCATGTAATGCTTCAGACAGGATGCTGTTACCACAACAGAATAGCTAGAAGAAAGGGAAATGTAAAATCTACTACGTGGTAGGAAACAAAGCTTTATTTTATTTTCCAAATTTAAAACCTCCCTTGCTCCAACTCTGCAATTAAATAGATTCTTATAAGCAGTATTAAGAGAAGTGAATTCACCTCTGAATTTTGCTCTATCAGGAAAAACTTAAGAGCTATCTGTAAGGAAAGTATATATGTTTACTCAGATATCAAGTTTTACCTCTCACTTTCTGGAAAACAAATTAAACCTGACAAGGAATTAGAATAGCTTGAATCATTTGGCTAAACAAT